GAATATTGCTGAAAGTGGCGTTAAACAACAAAGAAAGCTATGCCAGGTAGGGGAGAGACTCTGGCTAATGTCACTCATAACAAATTCATTAAGCACTTGCATGGAGAACCCAGCGCATACGACTGTATGATGCAGGGAGACTCGGTACGCTTGCGTAAAAGGCTCTGCAAATGTGTGCCGGGCTTCTAACGATCTGCTCAATGGATATAGTGTCAACGCCCTGAACGAATTGCCTTTACACGGCAGATACGCTGTGTGCCTTTGTCGTCTATTTCATTATTTGTTGGCTTCATTTGGACGAAGGACCATACATTCACGGCTCAACCCGAATAATATGGCGGTGTATCGCATTCATATTCAGCGTGTAGTCAATGCCATAGTATAGCGGGCGTTCCGTGTCTATAGCTCGACTCCTGGATTGAAGGCACGCCTCGACTAATGGTACGTATACGTCGAGCAAACATCCATTCATAATAAATTTTGTGAAACGAACCGATGATTTGATGATCAAACTCACCATTCAATAACCTGACATATATTTTCTCCCATGTTTTCGCCATTATCGGAAAACAGGAAGCCCTCCTGAATTAATAAAATTATTATTGTGGTACGCCTCGTGCAGGGATCGGGTCCCGTGCCGCCAGCCAGAAATAATGTTAAGGTATGGGAGTTACGATCACCTTTAGAGCCAAGATCTCATTGTGAAAGGGGATCCAGTATCGTCGGACTGTCTCCCTTTAGGGCCAGTAAAACCGCGTTCTCTCGTGTATCACCAGTGTAGCAAGGATCTCTATTTATGCTTAGTGTAATGGACATTCCCATTTAAGACTAATAAAGGCGGAGCCATCCCGCTGCATAATCCAGTATCCAGTAAGGTTCTCTCCATTTATGACTAATAGATAGCCGGTCTCCCCTCCCTGCTGACTGGTAGCATGGCAAGGCTTCCGCCACTCACAGTTCACATTTCTGACGGTTCATTCGCAGGAAGGCGACTTCTTTACAACCTGGATAGAGGGCAATCTCCGATGATAACCTGGAAACAACGCCACGCTGTAAAGGGTCCAAGAACAAACAACAACCTTGGAAGGCGATTGGCATGCTGACGCTTTGAAGAAGTTGGTTGGCAAGGGCCCTTCCACACTTTTCTGAATTCCTTCGACTCCTATTAAGAGAGCAGAAATCCACGGAAATCACTATGCAATATGCCGCCGTTCAGCGCCTCCCACCAAAGAAAGAAGTACAGAGATCTTGTGTTGTATCAGGAGTATCCTGTATTGGATTTCAACCAGATGACTGTGTGGGTATGCAGACACTGCATCATATGTTCTTGCATGTTAGATGACACTGTGTACACATTTAATGACTGGAGAAGGACAGTGAAAGTGAAATATTTTATCAAATGATAATGATGATAAACTGACGGATATATATTTTAATGATTAAGGACAGTGCACGTACGTGAAGTGGAAGTGTAATAGTTTATACAATGATTTTGTACATATGTATGAATAATATGAACATGAACCTCTTGTGTTTGTCGCCTTCCTCTGGGATTAGGGTTCCCGTATAAACACCCAAACCCATTGTTGCAATGTTCAACTTTTCGCACGAAGGCGAAACGAAAACAGCCTATGTTTTATTACCGCCCTAAAATGTCACCTTCCTGCGGACACACTTTCTGACCAGTACAGCAAGGCTCACGTATTTGTAACAAATTAATAAAGCAAGGCTCACTTATTTTAGACCACGCTAAGGCTCACGTATTTGTGACCACAGCAAGGCTCACGTATTTGACCAATAAAGCAAGGCTCACGTATTTGTGGACCAATAAAGCAAGGCTTTCTACGTATTTGTGATCACAAAAGAATCCTCATGTATTTAGACCAATAAAGCAAAGAGCTCACGTATTTGTGACCAATAAAGCAAAGTGCTCACGTACTAGGACCAACAAAGCAAGGCTCGTCGTATTTAGACCAATAAAAGCAAGGCTTACGTATTTGTGATCAATAAAGGAATCCCTCACGTATTTGTGACCAATAAAGCAAGGCTCAATGCATTTGTGAATCAATAAAGCAGCGTTTACGTATTTGTGGATCAATAAAGCAAGGCTCACGTATTTGTGACCAATAAAGGTCACGTATTTGTGACCAATAAAGCAAGGCTCACGTATTTAGACCAATAAAGCAAGGCTTAATGATTTGTGATCAATAAAGGAATCCCTCATGTATTTGTGACCAGAAAAGTAAAGGCTCCTACTTATTTGTGACCAATAAAGTAAGGCTCACCTATTTGTGGACCAATAAAGCAAGGGTCACTTATCTGCTTGACCAATAAATGCAAGGCACATTTTCTTTGAACAGTACAAACAAGGGGATCTCTCATTTATGCCCGATGATGAAGGACATTCTCATTTAGATTAAGGAACAGGGGCAGCTTCTTTTTATGGCCAGTATAGCAAGGATCTCCTTTGTGACGAGGTATATCGCATGTGGATCACTCATTTGTGACCAGTAAAGAGTATGGATCTCTCATTTGGTGCCCCTATAAGAATATAGGCAGGGCCACTTCCTTTCATAGCCAGTATTGCATGGATCTCTCATTTGTGCCCATAATAATATAGGCAGGGCCCTTCCTTTATGGCCAGTATAGCATGGATCTCTCATGTTATGCCTATAATGATATAGGCAGGGCCCTTCCTTTATGGTCAATATAGTATGGATCTCTCATTTGTGCCCATGAAGTAATATAGGCAGGGCCCAATCCTTTATAAGCCAGTATAATCCGGGTTGTCCCGTTTATGGTCAGCAGCACATTGAGTTCTCTCTCCTGTATCACCTTAAATGGCTCCAAATATTGCCCTGTAAATGAGTGAATAGTTGTTGTAAAAGCCATACTGTGACAGCTTGATTTATTTATATAGCGCCGAGTTCAGCAATCAACACGCGATGAAGCACAAGGCAATGAGGATGAGAGCACCAGATCTGTAAAGTAACGTCCTGTCTATGCTAATACACCTGTCCGTTTTAATCACCACTCTAAAAGTACCTGGCACATCTGTCAAGTAACGTCTACAATAAGCTCTATGCTACATACATACTATGACATCCGTTTTAATCACTACTCTAAAGTACCTGGCAAAGGACATCTGTCAAGTAACGTCCACAATAAGCTCTATGCTACATACATACCATGACATCCGTTTTAATCACCACTCTAAAGTACCTGGCAAAGGACATCTGTCAAGTAACGTCCACAATAAGCTCTATGCTACATACATACTATGACATCCGTTTTAATCACCACTCTAAAAGTACCTGGCAAAGGACATCTGTCAAGTAACGTCCACAATAAGCTCTATGCTACATACATACTATGACATCCGTTTTAATCACCACTCCTAAAGTACCTGGCAAAGGACATCTGTCAAGTAACGTCCACAATAAGCTCTATGCTACCTACATACTATGACATCCGTTTTAATCACCACTCTAAAAGTACCTGGCAAAGGACATCTGTCAAGTAACGTCCACAATAAGCTCTATGCTACCTACATACCATGACATCCGTTTTAATCACCACTCTAAAAATTACCTGGCAAAGGACATCTGTCAAGTAACGTCCACAATAAGCTCTATGCTACCTACATACTATGACATCCGTTTTAATCCACCACTCTAAAAGTACCTGGCAAAGGACATCTGTCAAGTAACGTCCACAATAAGCTCTATGCTACATACACATACATATGACATCCGTTTTAATCACCACTCTAAAGTACCTGGCAAAGGACATCTGTCAAGTAACGTCCACAATAAGCTCTATGCTACCTACATACTATGACATCCGTTTTAATCACCACTCTAAAATTACCTGGCAAAGGGACATCTGTCAAGTAACGTCCACAATAAGCTCTATGCTACCTACATACTATGACATCCGTTTTAATCACCACTCTCTAAAGTACCTGGCAAAGGACATCTGTCAAGTAACGTCCACAATAAGCTCTATGCTACATACATACTATGACATCCGTTTTATTCACCACTCTAAAAGTACCTGGCAAAGGACATCTGTCAAGTAACGTCCACAATAAGCTCTATGCTACCTACATACCATGACATCCGTTTTATTCACCACTCTAAAGTACCTGGCAACCAGATGGGTGGCCATTTACAACAACCCTGACATTTTATGATTTTTACGACCGCATGTACATCGTGCACAAAATGTATTTTATTGCAGAGTGTCATCCGCTGCTTGCTGATGGGTTAACCCCCTTGATCATGTGGGCACGTTTCGTAAAGTGCCAATCCCGTCATGCAACCAGTCACTTTTATGGTCATGGCGCAGACATTTATTACAATCGTTCTTCTTCCCAGAAGGGCGGTGGAGCAACCTAGGGGTTAAGGCGTTCGCTAGTCACGCTGAAGACCCGGGTTCGATTCCCCACATGGATACAATGTGTGAAACCTATTTCTGGTGTCCCCATGATATTGCTGGAATATTGCTAAAAGCGTAAAACTAAACTCACTCACTCACTCACAAAGACAATCAAAACAAAATGCAACCGATGTTGAAATTAAAATTATATCAAACTAATATGGTAATGCTAATTGTGGTTAAATCGTTTTTACTTCACAAACAAACCTCACGTGGTCCACCATAGAGGATACATTAAGCTTCGTCCCAACCCTGTTAATCGGGCATTACTATATGGAGTATGTCACTTGTGGTCAGTGACGGATAACTTAAACACCAGCATATTTTATACAATTATTGTTTCGTACACCTCACATATACTTGGGAAGGGTGGAGTAGCGTAGTGGTTAAAGCGTTCGCTCGTCACCGAAGATCCGGGTTCGATTCAACAGACGGGTGCAATATCGGAAGCTAGTTTCTGGTGTTCCCCTGTCGTGATCTTGCTGGAATGATGCGGCGTAAAACTAAATTCACTCATCAGTAGAGTAAGTAGGTAACGGCGTGGACACCACCACGTCCTTCAAACATCAGTCCCTATTACCTGAGGAAACAGATTCTATCGAGCTTGAAAATGGGGGTGACAATTGTAGGACAAGATCATCAGTGATGACACCAGGTGTTCACAAGACAATCAGCATATCCTGGTTTTCCGGTAGACATACAGCATGCCTCAATTCGATGTGTGCTATCACTGTATTGCATGGTGAAGGATGTTGGAAATCGCAGGTTTTCTTATGTGTTCATTCACAAAACGGTATCCCGTTATATCGATAATGTTCTGTCTGGAATCACCGTTGTTTGGAAAAGACTTATTCCTGCCGTCGACATAGAACTTAGCAAGAAACATGCACCTGAAAAATGCAGAAATAACAATTATTCTTTGCCTCGATTTGTTTAATGTACTTTTCCTATTAATAGTACGTTATAATAAATATGAATCTATATTCTAGGGTAAAATAATTTGGTTCCCCACAGTTTTAACCAGGCAGCAACTGGTCCTAACATATTACTTCAACTGTGTGAAAAATACTGGCGCGCTGCACCATCAATCTTCGTACTAAAGATTTTAAACGATCGACTCGGAGGAACAGCAACAGGTCATTCACAAACCCACGACACCCATATGGATCAATTGGGATGCGATCCCATGATCCTGCATGATATCCGGGTTTCTGTGCACCCCCCCCACCTCAAAATAACAGTGATATGTCATGCCGAATACTATGACCATTTGTCTTACATCGAATATTATGGTAGAGATTAACATTGCTTTGATTTCAAACCGGGTTAGTATATAATCTTACTCCATACACCACGACCCGTGAAGATTCGGGTTAGATTTGGTCTTCAGTAACTCATGCTTGTCGTAAGAAACGACTAACGGGATCGGGTGGTCAGGCTCGTTCACTTGGTTGACACATGTCATCTTACCGATCGCAGCCATATAGCTGGGATATTGCCGAGTGGGGCGTAAAACTAAACTCACTCACTTACTCAATACGCCACACATAAATGTGAATGTTTTTGTATATAGACATGTATTATTGAAAGTCGTACCTCCGAACACGAACGTGTAATCATACACTTGTGTGACGTCATAAATGAAGCCTGAAAAGACACATAAACATCATTAACACGCCTTATTTGAATCATGTATTCCTGTCAAAAGAATTTTTTACATTTCATCGTATTGTATTTGATGCACACATCTAAACCTTGCTGGATTGAGAACAGTCACCGACCCGCTGCAAACATGTGTTCCAAATTGAAACCCATATTCAATATAATCATCATATAACCCTTGTTACATGTTAAGCAACTCTTTAATATTGGTGTATACTCAATTTGCTCGGCAATATATTATCGATGATAAATATAATCAAAACGAGTTTAGCATGTCTGTTCACATTAAAGTTGTCTTGTACTTTTAACATGAACGTTCTCAAATGTAAAATTCAACGTGCATCACGTATTCTTAGTACTGATGTCATTTGTGGCTGACGGTAAAATAAACCATGTTGTCGTGCTACATTGACCTGCTGACAACGGATTAACTCCTAAGTTAAATCGGCTTTTCAAACACGAGGTACCCAGGGAACTATTCTGATAATGGCCTCACACAGACACCTAATCCCTCCCGTAGTTGTACCCTTGGTGCCATCTTGTATCCGATCAATTTATCAAACTTTGTACGGTTTATTCACATAAGACTTTCAATGGGCACGTAATTTCATACTCAGCTTGCAGAGGAACCGAATGCCTCATGTTAAACGCATTTTAGCAGCTTCTAGCTCGGAAGGCGGTTTGTGAACTCTAAATGTTATTTTAATAATTTAAATTGAATTTAACTAATACAAATTGTGCATGTCTTCCAAACTTACTTGCAATGACTGGTCCCAAGAGATATCAATTCCACAAGAGAAATACACAATTCCAAAACTCATAGCAACGTCAGACAAACTGGTAAGTTGTATAGTTAATGGTCCCATCAATGAATTTGTTCCATGGCTGTACAAGCCATACAATAATGCAAACGCTATCTGGCAGTGATATGTACTGGAAAAACAGGGGAAAGAAGATGGTGATGAGTCAGTAACACCAACAATCCCGAACTGAAGCAACGTGTATTCCGTACTGGGACTGGAAGCCATCAGACCGATGACTACCCTCGTGAAGATGCCACCGGCTCCCATTGCACTTAACAGACTTGCTGCCTGTCGTGGTGAGCTGCCTTTAATTTCTGCATAGTTCGGAAGATGGAATATACAGGACGCGTCGCCTAGCGACCAGAACAAGATTGCAAAGTTGTACATAAGAAAATCCCTTTTTGTCATTATTTTTAACAACAGTCGTATATTATAACATTGGGTTTTCGGTTCCTCGTTGGTCTGTGTTCGAGGTGTGATGTCTTCTGAGAGAAATGGGATTGTTGTTTGATCTGTGTTGGTATCTTTCGTAGGGTTTGTACCAGCAAGTGTCGTATCACTTCTCGGAAACATTTCATCGGAGTCTTGAATGGATGCTTCTTTGGCTGATACATCATCTTCGTCTTTGTGGACAACTATGAAAGATTCGTTGGAAGGTATTGGTGGTTTTCGCAGTAAGGATGCCGCAATTGACATATGGAAAGAAATGGCCCCCATTATCAACAAAGTTCCATGCAGGTTATATTGGTCAAGAAGGTATCTTGTGAGTGGACCTGCTATGAACAGCCCCAGAGCACCTCCTGCCATGCATACGCCATAGGCTGCTGGCCTCCTCTTCTCGAAGTAGTGACCAGGGACCACGCCCACCACGTTTCCACAAAGGGATAAGCCAAGGCCTAAAAAGGCAAAAGATTATAAATTAAGTAGCGAATACATATTGTTTTACGTCGCAGTCAGCAATATTCCGCTGATTAATAATTAATTAACTCACCGCCGGTAACACGTGATTAACAACACGAACAACAGCGTGTCTGTTTGTTCTTTAACGTCTAACTCCAGCAACATTCCAGCTATTTTGTTGTTCTATCGACAAGGAGTCTTGCTTGCTACTTCACTACGACACTTGCAAAATAACAGATCTGGTTAATATATTATTCAGTCATGACCGTGACGGTCTTTGGTCCTCCGTCAAGTAAGTCAACAGACATCGATATGGAAAAGACTACAAAGGCATACGATGGCAATCTGCTGTGTAAGGTAATTCCCTTCGGAGCGTTAACACAATTACCATTGAACAAGGTCGTCATACCCATGACACACATTAGCAAGCCTTAGCGCAAGCACGCCGCGTCTCTTATGTGTTATGCAGTGTTCCATTCTGTTTCTCTATGCAAGCGTTTCACTATGCAATGTAATGAATGCCTTGCAGAGACATTGTAAGTCTATCCCCTGCCTAGTAATAGATGTGTTTGTTGTTTAACGCCACACTTAGTAATAGTCAAGCTATATGAATACACGATGCCATTTAGAAAGTGAATGTAACACATGTTACATTTGGGATTACATTTTCTCAATAAAGTGCAGATTCTTGTTGGTTTGAATCCCATTGGGGATTCGAACCCACATCCATAGAGGCAGGCACCCAATTGCCGGCACACAAAGTCAGCCCTCTAACCCGGTCAGCCAGCGCGGCTTCCACAAGCCATCTATCATCTATGCTTAGCCTGTATGTACCCCTGCCCATCCAAGGAATATACCGATTCACCAGCAAATAAACGTTATGCAACCAGTGCTGTGGTATTTGGTGCATGTGAACAGAAGGACTGCTTATATATTCCAAACATTCGCGCCAGACTGTATATGTGACATGGGAGCATTGTGTACACTGGAAACTATATCGACGTTATATGATTACACTCAATGTCGCTACATGATACGATCTACGCAAATGTTCTCAGTGACAATACAGTGCGATATTTACCAGGGTTACCTCCAGGTTCTTGATGAGAAGAAACTCAGAGAGGAGCATTATAAGTTCGATATTGTATTGTTGAATATTATGTTATTGAAATCGTGTCCGTATTGTTTCACGGGGGCTTGTAACGCAAAAAATAGCACCAATATACAAACTGTCACTGACGGGACTATATTTACCAATATAAACTAATACACACACATTTAAAGCGAATAGATTTAGTATGCGGTACCAGTGAACAGGTATTGTGGCTTTGAATTTCCAAGCTTCCGAAGATCCTAACTTACAAAATACGGCTTCGATATTTTGTGATTTATGTCTCATTTTGTAGCTCAATCTATTGGCTTGAAAAGCGTGTACTGTTTCAAAGGAATTTGTCCTGAAACGAACATGGTGTGTAGTCCTCCTTACACCCCTTTCCTTTGATATCGTGTGAATACACAATGCCATTTAGAAAGTGGTCGAATGTAACACATGTTGCGTTTGGGACTACACTTTCTCAGTAAAGTGCAGATTCTAGTACGCGTGTTGGGTTGAGTCCCATCAGGGATTCGAAACCACACCCTCAGAGAAAGTTTCTTCGTTACAGAGAAATTGTAATCTCATAAAACATACGTTACACTTGACCGCTTTCTAAATGACATTGCGTATTCATAGCTTTCGGCCTTTGAAGTTGGGTCAATTTACACTTATCAGATGGGTTTGTGGTCCAGACTACCATCTCTTCTACTTCCATTTTTGTGGAACTCGCGGCGGCTGAGCGGGTTAGACGGCACTTTGTGTGCTGGCGATCAGGTGCCTGACTCTGAGGCTGTGGGTTCGAAACATGTTTCAGTAATATAGTGGTTAGGCTCAGTTAGGTGGCAATATATACCTTGATGCGTGAAGCCCATTTCTGGTGTCCCCCGCCGTGATATTGCTCCAATGTTGCTAACAGCTGCGTAAAACCCAACTCATTCACTCACTGATGTCGTTTCACACGCATTGCCTCTTATTGCCTCATATCTAATATCTTCGGGAAATGCGAGACACAATGATTTGATATATTAAGGCTACATATTTGGAATTTGGAATATAACGCGAGAGCTTACCTGAAATAAATCCGTATGTAACCAACAGACCTGTAACTGTCCGACAAAACGAAGCGATAGTCATGCCTAGTAACACCAGAATTGCACCACCGAATGTTGTCAATTTGGAACCAACACGATGTTGAATGATACCAGACACAGGACCTGCGGGAAGAACATATTTGAAGGGGATAACATCTTTGATGAAGCATTGACAACGGCAGATATTTGCCTATGTACGTATGAACTTAAGGAACCCCGGTTGACATCAATATCTAGGTTAGAATTGGTCTTGCTTGTTGCTTGTTGTATTTCATATGCATGGTAGGTGAACTGTCTTGGGCGCCAGGCTAGTGATCCAGCGAGCTTAAGGTAATGGGATCGAGCCAACCTGTGACCGGGTGTAAAAAAAAGCAAGGGTACAACTTTGTGTGCAGCTCTTTCAGTGTTGTCACAACCCCTAGTGTACAGTACACAACTCTGTGCACTTAAAAGAACCTACGAATCAGTTGGTGAATGAGTGTTGAGATTGATAATATGATGTGCCTTTGATATCGACATCCAATGCTCGAGTGAAAGAAACCCAGGGCCTTGATCATGTACTAGTTGCGTGGATATGTGCGCTAAATAAATATCCTATAGTAAATAATAATAATTTCATTATACATTCGTCATCAGCATTTTGGGTGCATGTGTTCGATGTTATCCCTGATTTCGATTGTTCTGTTGTGTTGAATGTTCTTGTGTGACATGCTACACCAATATATGAAAATGATTGTTGCCCTTTTTTCTCTCATACCTGTCGCTTCTATTGGTAAAAGGTTGATGCATAAATATACAGTGTATATCAATGTTTACATCTCCGTCCTACCTAAAAGCGTAAATGTGCCACTCTGACATGATCCAATCCATGACGTTTTTGTGATGTCATTCTCCACCTCTTCCATGATAGCGATGTTAATTACTCCTGATGAAAACACAACGAAAGCCACCATAAGCTGAATGCTGAGTGCTGCGCCTAGGGCCACCCATGCGTACCCATGGTCGATGTTGTTCCTGTGCGCCATCCTTCACGGGTTCAGGGAATGGCAGTCTGTGTATAGAAACAATGCACATAATCAGAATGACATGTTTGGAGGCGTCTGTTCAGAAATATGAACCCAGGACACGTTTACACTCAGTGTATATAACACAGTTATTTCCCCCACGTTTCTCCATCTGTCATGAAAAGGATAAGCAATTCCATATTTCGTTTTGCTGTTTATGCATGAACTAAAGTCCCATTACATTTGGGCAACTTTATAAGTATTGCTTGTCTGTTTAACAGAGGCGAGAAAGCGACTGTTATTAGATATTTATCAGAAGGTTTGTTGTATCAAATACGCTTACACGCTGATGAAGAGGTTCATTTTGAGTCGAGCATTTGAGACTAAGTTAGCCTGTAAATACACTAACATGGCTGACCATATCTTGATCCTGTATTGTAATCTATATCAGTGAGTGACATGATGTTACATATTACAAATGAATCATAACTACTTACACTTTACATCGAATAGATCGATGTCAACAATCTGCACAATGGCGGTTGTTGTATGAGTATCGCGGGTGACTTCATTGTATAATTCCTGGCAGACCGAAACGGAAAACACGTGATGCGTTTCACCCGAGTGAGTACTGATCACACTAACTCGATTTCGAAGAATTATATCACTAGCTGCCAAGTACTGTATGCTAAACATATTTTTATTCAGTGAATTATAGATATTTTTCTGATCGTATGCACTGACCTAATATTCATTGATTCATCTGTTAGTATCTGAACTCAGGTCACAATCCAATATTGCACACATGCTTACCATTAACGTGGAGATTTGCTGAAGGCATTTAGTCTGTTTGCACAGCCTCATAGACAGCACAGCCACTCTAAAGTATGGCCGAATACCGCTGCTGATAACAAGTCAACACTGTACAACACAAGAAGTTGTTAGAGATTGTCCAGCTTGTAGGTGAACGTTGATACTTAGACAATGACCCATCAGAGGTCACATGCAGGTTACTCACAGGTGTAAGTATAGGTGATCAAAAGGTCACGCCCCCAAATGTTTTAATGCAATCACAACGTGAAAATTCAGGGTAAACCCTCATAATTCAGCAATTTAGGTTGCCGCCTGAACATCATACGTTTCTGGTATAACCAACATAAGTCGCTGGTACGACCGACAATGGATGCTATTATAACCGACATTGGTTGGGGCCAGGGACGTGATATCTTGCTGGTACGACCAACATGGGTAGCCGACATGATCGTGATAAGTTGCTGGTACGACCAACATGGGTTGCTGACATGTCGTGATAAGTTGCTGGTATGACCAACATGGATTTCTGACAGGATCGTGATAAGTTGCTGGTACAGCCAACATGGGTTGCTGACAGGATCGTGAAAAGTTGCTGGTACGACCAACATGGGTGGCTGACATGATCGTGATAAGTTGCTGGTATGACCAACATGGGATGCTGACATGATCGTGATAAGTTGCTGGTATAACCAACATGGGTTGCTGACATGATCGTGATAAGTTGCTGATATGACCAACATGGGCTGCTGACATGATCGTGATAAGCTGGTGGTATGACCAGCATATGGCTGCTGACATGATCGTGATAAGTTGCTGGTATGACCAACATGGCTTGCTGATATGATCGTGATAAGTTGCTGGTATAACCAACATGGCTTGCTGACATGATCGTGATAAGTTGCTGGTACGACCAACATGGGTAGCTGACATGTCGTGATAAGTTGCTGGTATGACCAACATGGATTTCTGACAGGATCGTGATAAGTTGCTGGTACAACCAACATGGGTTGCTGACATGATCGTGATAAGTTGCTGGTACGACCAACATGGGTTGCTGACATGATCGTGATAAGTTGCTGGTATGACCAACATGGGTTTCTGACATGATCGTGATAAGTTGCTGGTATGACCAACATGGGTTGCTGACATGATCGTGATAAGTTGCTGGTACGACCAACATGGGTGGCTGACATGATCGTGATAAAGTTGGTGGTATGACCAGCATAGTTGCTGGATATAAGTTGCGACCAACATGGGTGGCTGATCGTGATAAGTTGCTGGTGATAACATGGCTTGCATGATCGTGATAAGTTGACCAACATGGGTTGCTGACATGATCGTGATAAGTTGCTGGTATGACCAACATGGCTGCTGACATGATCGTGATAAGTTGCTGGTACGACCAACATGGCTTGCTGATATGATCGTGATAAGTTGCTGGTATAACCAACATGGCTTGCTGACATGATCGTGATAAGTTGCTGGTATGACCAACATGGCCAACATCGGCTTGGTACTGGCTTGCTGATATGATCGTGATAAGTTGCTGGTATAACCAACATGGCTTGCTGACATGATCGTGATAAGTTGCTGGTATGACCAATATGGGTTGCTGACATGATCAAAGTTGGTTCGAGTTACAAAGTATTAGGTTGCTGGTATGACAGACTTAGGTTGATGATTTAACCATCATTGGTTGCAAATATAGGTTGCCAGTATGCTCATCATACGTTTCTGGTGTGAACACCTTGGTGTGCTCATCACGAGTTTCTGGGATGACCATTACGTTACTGGTTTGACCACCACTAGGTGTTGGTGTGACCATGCGTTGCTGATGTGACATTGAAAGGTTGCGGGCCAACATCATCACCGGTTGGTGGGATCAACATCTTAGATTGCTGGTATGACCGTCATTCCGCAGGTGTCACAATCATAAATAGCTGCTACAACAATGGACATCCCCTCCGTTTTGCTCAGGTATGTATACTATCAAGAAAATGTTGTGCCCCACTAAACAATTTCACCCAAATCAGTTGCTTTTCAGTAGTTTTATAGTTGTTAAGCCTTAAAACCACGCAATCTTACAAGAAATACCCTCAATATGTATCCTTAAAGATAATTATAAATTTACTACCCATCAAAAGATTAGATTCACTAGTGTAAATGTAGCCAATTACTTTAGTCAACTGATCCAAACTAGATTTTGCAAAATTTCGATTTAGAAAAAGCATACGATACAACGTGGAAACATGGTATCTTAAAAGATTTACATGAATTTGGATTGAGGGATAGACTACCTCAGTTCATATCTCAGTTTTTAAACAACAGACAATTTCAAGTACGGGTAGGTTCCACATTGTCTGATTATTTCCACCAAGACCAGGGCGTCCCTCAAGGCAGCATCCTGTCTGTCACATTTTTTAGCATCAAAATCAACAGCCTCACTAACGTTTTGAACAGCTGTGTTGACTAACAAATTGCCTGCCTTTAAATTTAGTGCTATGACGTTTCCTGTTTTTAAATGACAATGTAATGAATATATGTTTTTGAAATCAAACTCATTTTGACTCTGTACTTACGATGTTTATTAATGCAGACTTGTTCTCGTCACTATATGGCTGGAATAATGCCGATGTGACGTAAAGCCCAACTCAGCTCAACTCAACTCAACTATACAGTTTAAGGATACTGTTTACACATGAACTGATGCATTGTAAAACAAATGCGCAACGTTGAAAAAATTATTGTCACGGGTTCAATAAATGATGAAACTCAGTGAAAATTGGTGAATTCTTAACAAAACTTTACACCAAAACGCAGCTGTTCACATGCACGATATGTGCACATGCGTTTCAGCAGTTTGGTTCATGATATCCGTGCAATTAATCTGCATAAGGTTTGCAGTTAGTTCCCCCAAGTGAGTGGAGAAATTCTTCTTCGATGTAACCACATATACAAACATAACATATAGTGAGTGCTTTAAGTGGACCCGTGAAGATCCGGGGTAGAATAGGCCTTCGATCAGCAACCCATTCTTGTCATAAAAGGCGACTATGCTTGTCGTAAAAGGCGACTAACGGGATCGGGTGGTAAGGCTCGCTGACTTGGTTGACACATGTCATCGGTTCCCAATTGCGCAGATCGATGCTCATGCTGTTGATCACTGGATTGTCTGGTCCAGACTCGATTATTTACAGACCGCCGCCATATAGCTGGGATATTGCTGAGTGCGGCGTAAAACTAAACTCACTCACTCAAAGTCACGCTTTAAGTGAGTCTAAAATTGTGAACCCGTGAAGGTCCGGGCTAGAATGAACCTTCAGTAGCCCATGCTTGTCGTAAGAGGCGACTAACGGGATCGGGTGGTCAGTCTCGCTGGCCAGGGTGCCGTTGTACAAAGCAATCTTAGCGCTAAGGTGTTCGTAACTCCCATACCTTAACATAGACTTACGACTGGCGTAGCGCTAAGGTTGCTTTGTACAACGGCACCCTGGTTGACATATGTCATCAGTTCCCAATTGCGCAGGTCGATGCTCATGCTATTGATCACTGGATTGTCTGGTCCAGACTCGATTATATACACACGGCCGCCATATAGCTGGAATATTGCTGCGTGCGGCGTAAAACTAAACGCTACACCACGTCTACAGTCTGTGATTTGACTCAGGGCGTGACACCACGTCTGTATTTGTCTGGATTTGACTCTCATCCGTGACTGTTACTGGCGCCTACACGTGAAGCTCGTGAAACTCAGGATACATCAATACCCTACCTCTATAGGGTCTTCATTTTAAACCATCACGTTTGTGTAAAGCAAGATTATATTTGTTGAGGAGGTGGCTCTTACCTGCAATTACTGTCAATCCCATCCTTCCTGACAATACCAGTCAGAAGTACCGTATTCTATATGCACATTCACGTCGAATGTCTTCTTCCGTTGCTGAAATTTCCACCGCACAACCAAAAACCATGCAGCAATCTGACAAAGCTCACAGGTGCGCGCCTGCTTTCGAAATAGCCACACGCTGTTAGCTGGATACGTGCTGGCTGTGAGCTGTCGAGTACAATACAGTAACGACATGGCAGGGTTAGGGTTAAAGTGTTCTTCGCCAGCTTATGGTCTGACAGTGACACGCATCACAGGGGTCACGTGGCCACGTGTACTATCATATATTTACATGTACCTCGTACAATACACTGTATGCAGGTACAGACTGTTTCGAGGCATATGAAATCTTCAGCTCGTGATATGAATATCGAGGTCCAATATAGTCAACTCTCGTTAATCCGACACTCGTGGTTGCAGAGAAATATGTCGGATTAACGAAAATGTCGGATTAATGTATTTGTGTGAAAATATCAATGTTTACTAAATGTCATGATCGTCATACTGTTGCATGCATATCAGAAATGGTAGATCTAGTTATCTTCATCGTATTTAAAAATATTCACAGAAATAAAACATAATAACAATACATCCTTGTTATCATTTATTAACATTCATAGAAGGCATAACATACATACATAATCACATAATCAATCAGTTTCATATCTATTTCATAACCACATCGGCACAAAACTCACGTTTGTTTTCACCGCATATCAGCAGTCGGAGTCGGAATGCGAGAATGTCGGATTAACGAGAGTAATTATCACTGTTTTAAATCCCGTAATTTTTTTGTCGGATTAACGTGATTGTCGGATTAATGAGTGTCGGATTAACGAGAGCTGACTGTATATGTCTTTTTCGATTGTTTAGATCATAATACGGATACTTGATTCGTCGGCATCTTAATCCTACTCTCGGGTTTCACAAAAATTACAGTCTTCTTTAGGCTGCTTCAATCTGGGATTTCGTCCCGCGTTGATGTGATACACCATGACACAAACGAAAACGCGTAGATTCATATTTTAACAAATGAAACCGTGTCAGTCAACACTTAGCAGTGAGTCATAACTTGATTCTTTTTCAAACCTGTTTGTAAAGTTTATAATTAGCAGTAATGCTGTTTGCTGCAATAATGAATCATTTCTTTACGGTCGGTTCACATCTGTGTCGCTCTGCTCTGTGGTAAGTGAGCGAATTGGTCTTTACGCCGCTTTTGCAATATCACGGATTGGAGCACCACAAATGGGTTTCACGTATTGTGCCCATTGTGGGGAATGTGACACGAGGGCGTCCAGAATAAGAATTGTGTTAGAATGACCTCCAGATTGTTCCATACTATGCCAGATTAGTATCTGTTGTTCCAGAAACAAACATGAACTCCAAAGGCACTTTAGTGTAGTAGCTTCCTTGCCACTGCTTACATTAGAGAGCAGTACATTCCTGACAAGTGTATTGTCATGCATTACGACGGATTATCTCTAGATTGCACCACACGGTAAGGGCTTACTTCACCCCAAACACGTTCACCCCAGCACAGAGTCACCCGAGGCTGTTTCACTCTGGTTGTTTCACCCATAACAGTTTCACCCCATTTAGAGGTTGTTTCACCCCAGCAAATAATAATAATCATTAGGTCTTTAGGCGAAAGTCTGGAAGACTTACTGTTATTATCCGAATATTCTTCTTCTTATTATTATTTACACAAAGTTTGTGACAGCTCTCCTGAACTAACTACTAGGTCGATTTTCATGAAACTTTCAGGGGTGATAGCCTGTGTGCTGACATTGATAGGTAGTCGAAAAAGTCCCGACTTCCGCTTCCGGTAAGGGCAGACTACCCAAAATGTCAAAATCTTTACACCTCAATATCTCAAAAACTATAACAGATAAATTGACTAAATTTTCACTCAATGTAGACATCATCATACCGCTTCGATTTAACGAATAGCAGAAGTTGGCAGCCATGATAAACTTTCCTCAAGTTTGAAAAAGCTGAAATCTTTGTCGATTTTTGCGTTTTGACGGTGGCTGTGTTTAAAAATCTTCTTCTACTGAACGGCAAACAGTACAATCGTGTTTGATATATCGTTGTAAAGTCCACACTCCGGACTACATAGAAAGCCCAAAGCATGTCGATATCGTGAATGGTTTTGGAGTTATCGCCTTGGGAATTTGGTAAATTGTTCTAAGGCGCATTTCCATTGGGTTCATAAAAATGTCACATCTCTGCAAAAACACAATGGATTGAATTTTTGAAGGTACCAAATGGTAGATAATTGCAAGGGAAACATGTTTGCTTCACATTATTATTTTGTCATAATCAATACTTAAGTCCTAATTACGACACAAACACAAACATTACCATTTTTCACATTTCCGCTCGTTTTGACGGTGCCTGTGTTTCATAATCTTCTCCTTCTGAACGGCAAATAGTACAATCGTGTGTGATATATCGTTGTAAAGCCCGCACCAGGGACTACTTAGATTGCTAAAGGCATGTCGATATCTTCAAGAAATATGGAGTTATCGCCTTTGGAAGTTGGTCAATTTTGTCAAAATGCATTTTCATAGGGTTCATAAAAATGTCCCAGCTCTTCGAAAACACAATGGATTTAATTTTTCAAGGTACCAAATTGTAGGTAATTGAATGGGGCACATTTTTACTTCACAGGATTGTAGTGTAAAAGGCACTAATTACGTCACAATCACGGCCCAATCACGAACATTAGGCCTTTTTGTATTTCGTTAGTGGTTAGATAGCTGAAGGAAGCGTCAGTACAATCTAGCAACAATCCCCACTTCCTGGTTTTTCAGTGCCCATAGAAATAGTTTCCTCTTTAACCTCCTGTAACTCCGTTGTTCTTAGGTCTACTGTCACAACAATTAGTGTTCTGGAATTGCCAGGATGTGATCTATCCAGCAGTTTGTTTACTTACCTGACTGTGACAGGAATACGCTTGACATTTTGACCACAACAAAATGTACATCATTTACCAGTAATCTCTCTTTTAATATATGCCTATATATATTGCTCAATTCTATGCTTTGCGTTTGTGTCAGCAGCATGGAATCAATGCCAAATTAATCTCAAAAACACTGTTATGGACGCTCCAAATGGCGTCCAAAGAAACAGTACAAGTAAAGGCAGCCACGGGGAGTGTATGGGGAAGTCTGAAGACCGTCAGTATTGCCCTGGAGGCAATCCTAGTTAGTATTATTATTATCACCATACTATCAAATTCTTTCAATAGTTTATTGATCTGGGTATAGTGTCGAAACAGCTTATTCAGGTTTTTGGAATAATAGCAATATCGTTTTTGGACGATAGCAAGAAGCTGCCTTGGACAGGAATGAACTTGAGGAGAGCTCCTTGTCTGTGAACTGTGTCCAGAGGTTAAGAAGCTTCTCATAGAAATCTTGAATTTCTGCCAATTGTTTCTTTAAAGAAGACCATTTTCACTTGGTCATCCTCACTTCTCAAGAGTGGCACAAGCACATAATATGGTAAGCCAGCATTAGATGAGGTATAAGCTTATGTCCTATGTGTCATCTCACAGTTGCAGTAGCACTTACCCGATAGTTGTAAAAACATTGCCTAATAAGAAAACAGATTGAGTCATTAATACCATTTTCCATGTATGCTCAATTAGTTTTGGGATGAAATGACGGGGTATTCCCGTGAAGTAGAATTTCGTTATTGCCTGTATAATCTCCTTCATGTTGTTCTATGGTGTGGATAGTTGTGCCTAATGTTATATGATGTGGATAGGTGTGCCTAGTGTTATATGATGTGGATAGTTGTGCCTGGTGTTCTATGGTGTGGATAGTTGTGCCTTGTGTTATATGATGTGGATAGTTGTGCCTAGTCTTATATGATGTGGATAGGTGTGCCTGTTGCCATATGATGTTGATAGTTGTGCCTGGTGTTATATGATGTGGATAGGTGTGCCTGGAGTTATATGATGTGGATAGTTGTGACTAGTGTTATATGATGTGGATAGTTGTGCCTGGTGTTATATGATAGTGGATAGGTGTGCCTGGTATTATATGATGTGGGTCGTTGTGCCTAGTGTTATATGATGTGGATAGTTGTGCCTTGTGTTATACGATGTGGATAGTTGTGCCTAGTGTTATATGATGTGGATAGTTGTGCCTGGAGTTATATGATGTGGATAGTTGTGCCTAGTGTTATATGATGTGGATAGGTGTGCCTGGTTTTATATGGTGTGGATAGTTGTGCCCTAGTGTTATATGATGTGGGTAAGTGCGTCCGGTGTTATATGATGTGGATAGTGGTGCCTTGTGTTATGGGATGTGGATAGTGGTGCCTTGTGTAATATGATGTGGATAGTGGTGTCTGGTGTTATATGGATGTGGATAGTGGCGTCTGGTGTTATGGGGCGTGGAATAGTGGTGTCTGGTGTTATATGATGTGGAATAGTGGTGCCCGGTGTTATATGATGTGGATAGTGGTGCCCGATGTTATATGACGTGGATAGTTGTGCCTAGTGTTATATGGAGTGGATAGTTGTGTCTGGTGTTATATGGCATGGATAGTTGTGTCCTAGTGTTATATGATGTGGATAGTGGTGTCCGGTGTTATGGGATGTGGATAGTGGTTTCTGTGTTATGGGGCGTGGATAGTGGTGCCTGGTGTTATATGATGTGGATAGTGGTGCCTATTGTTATATGATGTTGATAGTGGTGTCTGGTGTTATATGATGTGGATAGTAGTGTCCTATGTTATATGGGCATGGATAGTGGTGCCTGGTGTTATATGGCGTGGATAGTTGTGTCTGGTTATATATGATGCATGGTTGTGTCCTAGTGTTATATGGCGAGGATAGTGGTGTCTGGTGTTATGGAGCGTGGATAGTGGTGTCCAGCCTGTGTTATATGGCGTGGATAGTTGTGTCTGGTGTTATATGGAGTGGAAAGTGGTGTCTGGTGTTATATGAGGCGTGGATAGTGGTGTCCGGTGTTATGGGGCATGGATAGTGGTGTCCGGTGTTATGGGACATGGATAGTGGTGTCTGGTGTTATGGGGCGTGGATAGTGGTGTCCGGTGTTATGGGGCGTGGATAGTGGTGTCCAGTGTTATGGGACGTGGATAG